TGCTAGTTTTCTTCAGTTTGCTTGCATAACATCTGTCTTAATACATTGAAAGCGGCTTTTCGAAGCTTGGGAAGACGCCAAAAATACAGAAATGGATTGACTGCTGAGTTGACGAATATTACAGTGGTAGCAAAGTTCCATTCTGGTTGCCACGCATATCTCGTTTCCGAGATTCCATTGAGAGTTAACAAACTGTACGCCGGACTATAGCATATAATTAAAGCGATGTAGAATACAAAAGCGCTCATGACACTTCTTCTTAATTCTACCACATGGGCACCGTCTCCTTCATCGTTGTTGTTTTGCACTGAACGTTGTTGAGCCTGAATCTCTGACTGATGACGGCGGACAATTTGAGAAATTCTGATATAACAACATGTGGAAATTATCAGACAAATGAAGATCACTGGGGCTACCAAGAGGTGATAGACGCGTTTATTCCATAGGTCGAAACCCGATAAGACGAAGCTGATCAACCAAATCATTCCCAAAATGTATTTTACACGGGATTTTGTCGCTAAAGTAGGATATCGGAGGTGAAAGTGAACTGCTAAAAGTCGATCAACGCTAATAGCTGTTATTGTGAGGAGGGAAACTGTACATACAGAGAACCCTACCATTATCGCCAGTTTAGAGATAAAACTGTAGTTTGTCAGTAGATCAGCAATATATATCGGTTGACCAATAACACCAACCAGGAGGTCCGAAACAGCGAGACTGCTGAGCAAAATCACGGACGTTGAGCGAACAGATGGCGTTCTTTTGATGGCGGCCAATACCACAGCGTTACCCAGAATGGAAATGAGCATCAGTGGAACATTGAGAAGGCAGATTATCTTGAAAATAGTATTGGAGCTTGCTTGGTCTTCGTTGTCTGAGTGATGGTCTGCTGATCCATTGTTGTCTTTCCCGGTGTCATTCATCCTCGCTGGCTGCGTTCGATATTATCAACTGAAAAATGTCATCTACCTTTTTCCATAAATGATAACAGCAAAGAGACTAATTCTTTGTTTCTGTTTGCTTCAGCGAAAAGCAAGGTAACTGAACGCTAAGACCCAGCAGTGTAGATCCTTCTACAGCCGTTATTTTTTTCCGCTTACTAAATTGCTTTTCACGCAGATGGTTTCAGTTCAGAT